TCCGGGGACAGATACACTTAACAATTATATTAGTATAATTTGTATATTTAAATTTCATAATATTATAAAAATAAATTATACTAGGGCTTTCGTTTTTATATTATAATATTTAAAATTAATTTTAATTTTTAGAGTTTAATATAATAAATTTGAAATAAAATCGATTATTTCAAACTTGAATAATTTTTTCTGCAGTGTCATTTAAAACATTAAATCAATTTTAAAAGAAGTCAAAACATTTTATTTATTTTAAAAAATATATTAAAAATAACTTATAAATTTATTTATATAAATAAAAACTATATAAAACAAAATTAAAAAGAATACATAAATAAGAATAAGAAGGCCATCATTTAACTCCTAGGAAACTTAGGTAGTTGCCACTGAACACAGTTATTTGGGCCAATAGTAAAATTTCAAAAGAGCTTTCACGATCCCTATTGACCGAAATTTTATTTACCATCTTAAAAGAATTGAAGCTTAGGGAAGGATCATTAGTAGAGATAATTAGATTAATGTTGAGGTCATAAGAGAACTGGAAGGGTAGAATACTAAATGAGATGGTTTTATTTACAGGGAATATTAGTAAGACTTTTTGATTTTTTGCCATCAGACAGAGATAGGTTAACAGACTCAAAATGATTTGGGTAGTTAGCCAAAACCAATTTATTTGAAATTATTTTAATTTCCATGAATAAATATAGTCTACCTGTTCTAAAAATTTATCACAATTATGCAAGCAAGTATTATATAAATGTTAATTCTTATCCTTAAATACTCTAAATAGTCATATTTTCTTTTTAAATAAAAATAAAATTACGAACTTTTAGGCCAAAAGATTTTTTTTCTTGGTTTTTTTACTCATAGGTTTTTCCCCCTAAAGTTTATTTACCCTGAGATTTATTATCTAAAATTTAATTCCAAAGTTGTTTTCCTGCATAGTCCTTGAGATTTTTTTTGCACAGTGTTTTTGGTCGAGTTTTTTTTTTGAGAGAATTTTTTTTCGGGATTTAAATTAGGTATAATGTACCTAAGAACACATATTTTGTCCAAAAAAAAGTATGTGAAATGACCTAAAAAAAGTGAAATAAAATTATAAATATTTTTCGATTCAAAATTTATTTTGCAAAGTTCATCACATTTAAAAATAAAATTTTTTAAATAAATTTTTATAATTATTAATTATTAAATATAATATTTATATAATATTAAATGTGTAATATTTTTATAATTATTAAATATGTTATATTTGTATAATTATTAAATATGTAATATTTTTATAATTATTAAATATGTTATATTTTATATTTATTCTAAGCTGGATGATAACGACTTGTTTTATTAGTGAAAAAATGAATTTCTAAGATTTCAACAACTAAATCTGATAACCAGGACAAAAAAAAGGTGGGTGGGTGGGGTGGGGGGGGGTGAAAAAGAGAGGATTATAATGATAGTCATAAGTTACTTGGTTGTGCTAATTAGTTTGTTTCTAGATTAAATATATAAAGTATAACAGTATCAACATTTTAATTATAATAGAACTTTTAAAAAAATGATGATAACACGAAAGAGAAACTCCTAACATATTATACATGGGAATTATCGCAATAATAATAATTAAATTAATCCTAAACTTAGATCTGGATCTAAAATTTTATGATTTTAGGTCAGAATGTATATTCAGCTAAAGCCAATATACTTAAAAACAGGGCGGTCACCAAATATTTTCACTAAAAGGGGTAGGAAAATAATATTTTTCTTAAATGTAAAAATTTATTGTATATTATGCCAAATATACATCTACATGCATTCTTATGACTTATAAGATATATTAGTTTAACATCATATAAATAATAGATATGAATTAGAGGAATATTCAGCGCATAAATTACAAATCATAATAGTAAATCTAGATAAACATATTGTTGTAAAGTATTTTTAATTAATATTTGTTTTATAAATTTAGAAAATTCTATTGGAAGAAGGGGGGGGGAGGGACAGAGGGGTGACTTTCACCTTCTCCGAGAGTAAAAAACTAATGAAAAATATATCCCATCTCTAATATTTAGGGTTTCCTCAATAAAGTGACCGTTTTAATCGCAAATTAACTAAACTATTACAATTGACATAAAAACTGTTTACTTCCAATTAGTCTGAAGCAGGCTGATTATAATTTTGTTTACTGAATTTTAATAATCTTACTGTTGTATTGCTAGGATATTATAATAGTTACAATCCTTCTACAAGATTTTCTACTAAATACAAGAAGTTTTAGGTAAATAAAATATTAAAATTCTTAAAACAACAAAATTTTTAAAAATTTTGTTTTCAATTACTCCGAGGTTATTGAAAAAATAAATCCCTTGAAAAATTGGAAATTTCTAAAGCAAGCAATATAATAACACCCAAAATAATAAAATAAATAGTACAATTACAAAATTTGAAATTTTAGGATATAAAAGCGGGATAATCAATAAATTGACATTGAGATCCTTTTGCTGATATTCTTTTCTTACATTTTAGAGGTAAGTAATTAATTATTATTTCATTACTTTTCTTATTTTATTACTATTGCAGGAATTCATATATTAAGTAATTTCGAGTTTCATATTATAATTAATCATTGTAATCCATAGGCGTAACCAAAGGTAGAGGGGATAAGAGGAAATTCCTTCTCCGGATAAATTTGCCTGTTCTCGTAAATATAATTTTAAGCGTATAATAATTTCTCCTATCCTCACTCCCCCTCCCCTTCCCACAATAATGTATGCAAACAATATATTCTAATAAACAATTGTTTAAAAGACAAATACGTAAAAGTTAATAATTTTTTAAATAATTACTATAATTCAAAATTTCTATTAAAAAAGCCCATTTATAAAAAAAACGACCAAAATTATTTTTAAAAAATCCAGCATAGCCAAATGTCTGCAATATGTGGATTTAAAAATCTCCAATAAAATTTATGAGGAAAAAACTAACTAAATAGTGCCCCCCCCCACCATCTCAGCAAAATCCTAGCTAGGTATATGCAATTATCAGTACTTACAGACCAAGTAATGGTTGGTTGTAATTAGTATTTACAGGTTATAGGTGTGGTCAGGATTTTTGTAAAATGGGGTGAACTTTTGTGTTGGCCCTCATAGATTTTATTAGAAGGGTTATCTTCGAATACATTATTAGCTTAAACTGTTGGAAGTTTAAACAAATATGTTTATTATATTATATTTATAAGCTGCCACGGCAAATTTCTATGAGCGTTTAGCCCCCTAATTTGTATTTCTCTATTCCAAACACTTAATAAACGATTTTATATATAATATTCCCGTGCTCTTACTTTTCCTTGTTTCAATTCGACCATATATTTTTTTAAACATACCATATTTTTTATTTCAAAGGCTTTCAACAGAACATGTAAAAAATATAAATGTGCATTTTACTGTTACAATTGTAAAAATGATCTGAAGATCACTTTACCATCTACAAATTATGAGAGAAAACATCTAAGGTTTTAGTTCATAACGGATTTTCCAATTGGAAAATGACAATTTAAAGATTGAAAAATTAGTAATTATTTTATACGGCTCTTTATATATTTCATAGACCTGCAGGCGGGCCTAAAATTTTTTTAAAAAAAATATTCGGACTAGCCGGGCTTAAAAAAATTATTTTTAAAAATACCTGGGCCGGGCCTTAAAACTAAATATTTTAGATCGCAATTATTAGCTATAAAAATTAATGAAAATATATTTTTAAAAAATTCACATCGGGCCTGGAAAATTTTTTTAAAAATCTGGGCCAGGCCATGCAAATGGTACCTCTACAGGTCTCTGATATTGCATAGAAAATAATAAAGGAAAATCAGTATTGTTTGCGATATGAGCTCACGTACATTATTGCAACTCATGAAAAAATCAAGCATTGCATGGTTAAAATAATATCATATCTTGCAATTTAAGTATTAGCTTTAAGGATTCATAAAGGTAAAGGATCAATATACAGAGATCTGTTTTTTATATTTTTTTGTTAAGTGAAGATTTCGATGTTATCTTTAAAATTATATAAAGTATTGAAGACAAATTCCGAACATTTGCATAGAGTAATCAAATATATATTTTTAGATATCCATTAGGAATGAAGAAATGCAGATGTCAGGTTATTGTTATGATCGAATTTAGCGTTAGGAAGTCCAGCCTATAAATAATGATAGTGATAGGCTATTATAACTATTCGTTGACTAATGATATTAATATCCCTCAAATCAATAGAAATAATTTTTAAATATTACTAAATTTATTGCTAAATAATGCTTCATGTTTTATGTCTTAAAAGTTAAAATGATAATAAAATTTAGCATATTTTAGAGATTTTCAACGCCGTCCAATTTGTTAAAATTTTGTAAGTTTTATTTGAAAGTTATTGAATATAGGTACCACGAAAAACTTTTAGCCACCGTATAAATTTTTATAAATTATATATAATATATATGTAAAAATATTATACAATTTTGACAAAAAATTTTTGGTTAAATTTAACTAATATATAGAAATCTATGAAAAATCGATTTAAATTAAAATTGATTAAAATTTAATGATAAAATTGTCCTAAATTCATAGATTATGCGTAGGTATACTACTTTACTGACACCCAATAAAATCAATTCTTTCAAAATTAAAAAATATATACGCCTGTTAAATTCCATAAATTCCTTATATATACTCTTATTCGATATATATTATATTTTGGTTATTTTTTCGGGATAATTTATTTTTCCCCTTCTTTTAATAGATGCGGGGTAAAGAAATTAACCTTTTTTACAGCCTTGGCATTTAAAATATTTCTTTACCCAATTTTCACTCTTGGCGTATTTCTTTGGAAAATAAAATAAATTATAGCCAAATTTGCTGTGACCTTAACTAAATTTCTTAACTAAATTTCATTTAAATTAGTAATGTAATATTAAAATATATATTTATTATTAATAGGGGGGTTATTTAAACCTGAAGAGCAGATAATATTTTCATCATTTCAGATATCTCCTCTTCTTTTAGCATCAGCTTTTTCATGGCGTCTAACTTATAAAACCCTCCTATTCGCCGAGTTACTACTTTAGTTTCGGAAAATTTTGTAGTTTGATTCTTATTATATTCATTAAAATTACTATCATCACTATCGTCTATGTTGAAAATGGAGTCCACTGGTGGCGTGGATGCTATTACAAGAGGATTTAAATCTGAATTTAGCGATTCTTGAGAACTATCAAACATGGCCCAATTGTTGTTTATAATATTTCCTTCTGGTGTTAATGTGTAATCTTCCTCATTATTAATTTTGATCATTTTTCCAGCTATTTTGTTGAGCCTGATAAATATCATAGAAGCCGTTACTAGGGCCAAACACAAAGTTCCAAATATGATCGAGAACTTGAGTATATTATGGCATTTGCCGCTATTATCAGTTTTATCATCATCGCAAAGTTCATTCTTTTTACTATACTTGATTCTAGCGTATTCCGAATCAGTCAAAATTCTTTTTTCATAAATCATGGATTCTTTTGGATTATTTGTTTGGTTGGTTGTTTTAAAATGATTTTGGGTAAATTGAGCTTCTCGAGATGAGTTCGAATCGCAGATTGAACCGGTATCTAAATCCATAATATTATTTGTAATTTCGTTGGTAGATTGATATGATTTGCAGTTTTTATGGAATATGTTTAATGTAGGACACTGATCTAAAATATTAGGCCTTTTCACTTTGGTGTTGATTGTTCCTTCATTATTAGGATGATCGCTAGCTGGGTTTCGATTATTGCTGGATTGTGGAAGATATTTTTTCATATCAAATCTAATTTATGTATAAATGTCAAGGACAAGATATTTTACAATTTATTTTAAAGAATGGATAAAGATATTAATAACATGAATCATTTGTTTGATTAGAAAATAGAATCAAACTCGAATCAAGGGAAAATAATAATCAACGGATAAAATTGGATAAAGGCTAATAATTAACTGATAAAGTTAGATTAAAGGCTAATATATTACATGTAAAACTTGACAATTATTATATGGAAATAAAAATCATGCCAAATTTTTTTTAATGTTTTAAAAATATTTTTTTACAAAAAAAAACTACTTAAAATATTATTATGGAGTTAACCATTGTTCTAAAAGTATACATGAAAATATACAATTTATATACCATCTTTTAGAATAAATAAGAATTAAATATTATGAACAATTATCTTAATTTGTCGGTAAAAAAAAGTTTCTATTATATAATATTTTATTCACTTTTGAATAATGATTTTCAAATTTTTTAGCGGTTGTTCAGTATTAAAGGAAGAATGAATTATATTTCAAATTATGATTTTTAATTTTTTTAAATTTTCTATAATTTACCTTCTATATTTATAATGCAGAATCTATTTCTATATATTCCTTTCTCCAAAGAATTATTTTTGATTAAAAAAAAATTTGTATAATTAAATTTTTTTATAAATATAATATTTTTAAGAAAATTAATTAAGTTAAACACAATTATTTTTATTGTGTTTTAAAATTATAGAATTTTTTGTAACTTGAGCATTATATACTTTATAATATTATGATATTATTAATTAATTTTTTTTATAACATAACATAAATTAATAAATTTTTATAAATATTTCATTTTATCCAATTTTATCAAATAACTTATGCATAAATTAAAAATATTTTTTTAAATAAGGACAAAAATATGGCATTCTTTCTTTTACCTTTTTTTCTTATATTTATCTACTTTCTTTTTTCACATTATTTTGTCTGTTTCTTATCCCGATTTCAATTAAAAAAAATATTTTTTTTTCAATTTCTTTATAATAAGTATTGACTCAAAACGTTCACTATTTAAATCAAATTCTAAATCATATTAGTAGGTTGATTTCATTTTCGGGTAGTTTTTTTAGGCTTTGTTAATTAACAACACTAAAAAAGATTACCCATTAAAAGCTAAATAAACGACATTTATCATATCAGTGGAATATCTAAGATTTTTCTTAGGTGCATTAATCACAACTATCTTAATTAAATGGCTGCCAAACAAATTCTTGTTATATAATAGTAATAATATATATTGTAAAACATCTTCATATATTTGTAACAACTTTCTGATAAAATTTTTTAACATGCTATGATTACTATGAAAATAACCTATTGATAAAATTAAAAACACATTAAATAATTTTATAAGAAAGTTGCTAAGAATAGAGTTGGGCACGAAGTTATAAATATCATTACATTATAGGTAGCGTTACGTTACATAACGCTCCTTTAATTTATCTTCTAAAACGAGTTCTGTAATCGTTACATTTTTTGTGTAAACGTTTGTTTTCCGTTACTGTTAAAATTCATGCATTCATTTATTTACACTTCAAATTGATAAAAACTAAAGACATAATTTTTAGAAAGCAAAATTATAGAAGACATTAGATTAGGAAGAAATTAAAATCGAATGAATTTAATATCAACATCTCTGCATTTACTTACAGAGTTGGACTCTAAAAAATCATGATCCATCATTTGAAGTTACTGCAAAAATATCCGATAATCAAATTTTTATTCGTTATAATACAAATTTACTATCCTCCTGTCCTGTAGTAGGCCTGATTTCTTTGCAAATTTGTAATAGACCAATATAGAAAAAGATTAAATGATGATCTATTTGAAAAATTAGTTCTTTTATCAAATACTTAAAATTATAATACTTAATTGTTATAATATTTATTTCAAAGACCTCTAGAGGTACCATTTGCATGGCCCGACCCAGCCCGGCGTTGGCTTAGCCCGGGTATTTTTTAAAAAAATACTAGGTCCAACAAGCCCGGGTATTTAAAAAAAATTAAAATACGGCACGCCCCGTGTATCCGGACCGGGCTTAGGGCCAGGGCTGCAGATCTGTGATTTATTTAGTTTAAAAAATATAAATAAACTAGTTTGTGTTTATACTTCCTTTTATTATTTTGAGACTTGCAGCAAAATGAATGATTAAATTTTTTTTTAATGTAACAAAGAGCTTTTTTAATCGTTACATGTTTTGGATAACGGCGACTTAACCCTTTTTTATGGTATCGAGAGTATCGTAACCGTTATATTTTTCCTTCAGTAATGGTAACAATAACCGTTACATTTTTAGAGTAACTTGCCCAATCCTGGTTACAAATATATGGAAATTTTTTACAACAAATCATTATTGTAAATTTAAAAAAAAATATAAAGGATTTTTCTTTATTAACAATGTTTAAAATCCAGGAATTGTAGATGAGTTCTGTCTTTGTAATTATAAACCGTGTGAAAGAAATTACGAATTATCTTAAGATATAAATAAATGAAGTAAAACGCATAATAGATGATTTGTCTAAATTAAGTTATAATGTAAAACTGGGATGTGATATGGATATATAATGAATAAAATTGCAAAATATAGAAATATTTTATTTTTATAGTAAATAAGGTTTACATATATATCAGAGACCTGAAAAGGTACCATTTTCACGGCCCGACCCAGATTTTTTTAAAATAAATTATATTTTTTTTAATTTATAGATAATAATGGCGATTTATAATATTCAGTTTTAAAATAATTGGCTAAGCCCTGGTATTTTAAAAAAAAAATTAGGCCAGGCTCGGATATATTTAAAAAAATTAAAATACGGCCCAGCCTGCAGGTCTCCCAATACATTTGATTCGTGGAACAATATATAAATGAGTTAATATAAAAATGTTAATCCTTGAATTAAGCCAATATTTACTATTTAAAACTCATTTTTGATTAAATACATGCCTCCGCTCTAAGAATCTACCTCTCTAAATATTAAGTTAAATAGTCTACCCATACTCCTGACCGAAAATTCGAGACACAATAAATTTATTTATAATTATAAAAATTTTCCAATATGATCAATTTTTATTAGACTTATAACTTGCATGGATTACTATTCTACACTCCAATTTGTTTATTGGATAGTAAATAAAATTAAACCTTACCTGAATAATTAGTATTTAAGGACAACAGTTTATTTTTAGACTTAAATCTAGATATCGCAATGTAGTTTCCAAAAACAATTTGATTGCAAATTATTTAAAAAATCATTTTTATTTAATTCATTTTTAAAACAAAAAATCACTCTGTCTCATATTTATGCTCTAATTAATTTTATCTTATATAAATCTTTTTATATAATTTATTAATTATTCACAAATTATATATTTTTTTTAAAAAAAATGATTAACAAATCTGATTTTGTGTTTTTTCCAAGAAAACAATTAGTAAAAGGTGGAAAAGGGATATAGTTTTACCCTTAAAATTGCTATATCTGGTAGGTTGTTGCAATTCCATATTCAAACTTTTGAAAAAATGTGGAATCAATTCTTCATATTACTTAACACTTTAGGAAAAATACTAAAATGCAATTTCAGAATCTTTACCTTAATAAATTTTATTAATTTTTCCCCGATTTCTAGAAAGGATATTTATGGGAAGTTATTCTTTATCAAGAAAAGTAGTTTAGGTTCAATGTTTCATTTTTTTAAATAAAATAGAAATATAATTGAATGTTATTCTTCTCTACAGTTAGCATATACTATTTAAAAAAATTATATAAATTTTTAGAGTGAATCAATATAAATGTGAATCAAATTGCCTATGATTAACGCTTACTGTACCTTCTAAAATAGTGATTTTGAATATTAGCAAAAATTAATTATATTTAGAAAAAATAAAACTTCTTGTGTCTTATTCACAAACCAACGTTATTCTAAGATAAATAAAATGCGTATAGAAAAATATATGTTTTGATCTCACTTGACTATATTTTTGAGATTTTGTGCAATGGAAAGTATCTAATGTATATATTTTAAGTTAACACACCGGATAAAAAATAATGAAGGTAGAGAAGACTGTAAGTAGTCATTTTTCGCTCAAGAGGGTTAAAAAAGATTACTTTTAATCTAAAAACTTCATATGAATTAGTAGCCCAAACATTAATAAAATTAAAATTATATCATAGTTTATTTAGCTAGATAATTTAAATGAAACCCATTTTTTTGGTGTTGAATAACCATGCTATATTTTTTTAAAGATAAAGCAAACTCTGATAGGTTATTTTTAAATGACTTTTAAAAGAAATTCACATATATACCTTTTTTTAGCTAATATATTTTCATATTTGTGGCATGTTTAGTATCTTTATTTTAACCCTAACCCGAATCGATATTCAAATTGGTTCATTTAAATTAATAATTTTTGCTATTTCTAAATATTAAAAACCTATAATTATAGAAATATTTTAAATATTATAAAAGGATGATATCATTTATAATCTTAAGTAGATAAGATTTTGAGTTATATAATATGGCCACTTAGACTGGCAAATCATTGCCTTCCCATCAACTATTATTAAATGATCTTTGTATGGTGAATAAAGCATTTAAGTTCCGAATTTTTTCAGGATAGAGTTTAAAGTTTAAGGATTTTATCTATATAAAATAAATTTTTGCTAGATAAAAAAATGCAGAATAAATTTTTATTCAGCAGTGTACCATAATCTTTTTTTTTAAATTTGGATTAATCAATCGAATATATGAACCAATGACGCGTATATAGTATTAGATTGACAATTCATGTATTAAATGCATTTAAATCAATGCATACACAAGTATCAGCTGTAGCGCCGAGATTTGCATGTATAATATAATGATCAACAAGTAATTAGTAAAAATGCAAATAAAATGGCGCTACCAGTCTAATACATGTACCAATCCATATATATAATTAGATTGGCGATTCGTGCATTAAATACATATAAAAGTGTATATACATATATTCAAAAGTAGGGCTATTTTTTGATCTGTATTTCGATAAATGACATTAATATGCATCAATTTATTGATCGAAAAGACAATTAGTAGACGTTCACAAAATGGCGCTACCGCTGGCTCCTATGTATGTACGCTTTTAATTAATTAATTGCCAATCTAGACTCTATTATCATTGATATGAACATTGGTAGGGTACATAGTTTGTATTTAAAGAAGATTTCACACAAAACAAAAATAATCCAATATATAAAAAATTGGAAGGGGTAAGCCAACCTCTGTGCCAACCTATCTCTCTGTCTCCTCTACTAATTTTTTTTTAAAATTATTATGATTGACCTAGATATGTGCACAGAGTAATTCTATTTTTTTCAATTTAAATAATTTTACAATTCAAAACTAACGTGGCCTCGATATTCATTTTATATTTTGGTATTCCAATTGACTCGAGATAATTGGTTATCACTAAATCATCTATATGAATACTTTCATAATTGCTAGAAGAACTAGAACTATACATCAGACCTGTAAAATAGGTCTCATCTAGTTTGGCCTTAAAATAATTTTAACTCTTAAGAGATTCGGTAAATAAAAGACGAATGGTTATGTATGGCATAATTAACCATTATTTTCCTTTAATATCTCTCTCAAATTCTATATTAAGTTTTAATATTTTAAAACTTAACCTAACTTATTTATAAATAATAAAATTTTTGAAGATTTAATAAATTCGCATATTTCACTATGAAAATCAATAAAAATATGCGAAAAAAATCTTAAGATATTTTTATTTTTATTTAACTTCTAATCATCGACAATTTTGGTTTTTATTGAGAAAAAAAGATAACGCGCAATAGCCTAGCGTGGTGAACTTTAATATTTTAAAACTATTATAAAAATGCAAGAAACCATGCAAAAATAAGATAAACCAAAATGTTTATATTTCAATGAAATTGATATTTTTTAAAAAAACTGAATAATATTTTAAAACAAAATCATGTCTGACTCGGTCTAGCCTAAACAAATATTAAGTCAAGCATTGCCCGAGATAAATTAAAGTGCTACTCACGTCAGTTAATATAGGGTTTTACAAAAAATATTTCACATTCTTTAGCTATATTCAATAGATTTAAATACCATAAATGTAAAAGAGTGTAGAAAAAACTAAAGGAAGAAAGAAAATTTGATTATTTTTATTATAATAAATGGTATTAGTTGAATTCAATAATTCATAAGTTTTTTTTTACTTTATAATGAGGGAAATTTTATTTAAAAAAAATTACAAAAAATCATATAATTAGGTAAAGGTAGGAAAACAAAAGATTTTATTTATTTAAAAATTTTTTTTTTATCTTTAATGAATTGCTTATTGTTCGAGGAAGATTAAATTGCATAATAATAATATTATTTTATTTTATTCAATAAAATTGATATTTTGGGGAAATATATCTTTTTTAAATTTATTATTTACATTAACAGCGACTTCTATACTCTCCCTAAGTAAATGATAATTTTATATCCCAAATATTATTCCTCTCCCCCCCCCCCCCCCATTATTATCAATTTCTAACTTAAAACTACCATTGAAGGTTTTAGAGCACTATTATAATGGAATTAGCTTATTTTATATTCCAAATGAAGAAAATATTAGATTCATATTATGCCTTTTTTTATATGAGAATCAGTTGATACTTTTTTCCTGGACTAATTTTAAAATTTTACAGCAATACTTTAGTTAATTTTGTTGCTTGACATTGAAAAAGGTACATCCTAAATAATTTCATCTATGCAATCGGATGATTAAATTAATTTTATAAGCAGAGGTACCTAATAAGTATAGTCGTCTTACTCAGCCATCTTAGCTTTTTATCTATAGCCACAAACGACTAAGGCTTATTAACCGTAAACTTTAAAATTGCTATGGCTAATTAACTATACAATTTTATTAGTTTAGTATAATCTTTGTTGTTGTTCCTTTGTGCATGGTTTATTTTTATTACGATTAAGCTTTTGAACTTTACAATTCAGAATGGGAAATAAATATTATTTATACAAATTCTCTCAACACTAACACCTGAGCGAAAAGCAGTATTTAATTTTATATACATAATTTTAATACAAGAAAAATTATCAACTCATTTGAGTATTTTTAGATTTAAAAAACGCCTCTATGAGATTTTCTAATATATTAGTGTACTTTATTTCAAAAAAATCAGTGGGAGTCGTTTTTGTGATTCTAACTAAGGTATCTTTGTTTGGTATTAGATTATTAAGCTTTACCAAGCCTATCACGTTGATCTTTAGCATAATAGAATAGAGCATCTTTCATCACTTCAAAGTTATCTACTATCTTAATATTAGTGTCTGACGATAAAAAAATTTATATCAGGGGATAGTTTTAATTATCATGGTAAATGATGGATTATCAACCAATGACATTGGCTAAACTGTATCAATTATAAAATCGAAAATGAGTTTATCAGCCACTTTCTGGGAAATATTGGCATGTGCAATATTATTATTCAATTTAGTTTGAATTGAATTAGTCTTTTTATATGTAGCCCTATACTAAAATTATTAAGATATTTTTCTATCTCTTTAAAACTCTAGGTATGAATATTCTTACAAAATAATAATACCATCAGAATTTGAAAATGGCAATTATCTTAAGGTATTTTTTGAGGTTATAGCTACTAGATTTATTTGAGGATATATTTTTTCTACATTTTAAACAATTAAATTTGTGGTCACCTTGTGTTTATATATTAATTTAAAAATATTTTTCTAATGAAATCGAAAATTATTGTTACCAGGAACATTTTCTTCCATGGTACCTTCCATTTCAATAATAGCATCATTATCTGACTCAATTACATCGATTTCGATATCCATTTGCGATGACATTTTAATAATTTACACCAGATGATTTAGGCTTATAATACAAATTGAAGATATAAATTTCAATATCAAAATTAAATAATGAATCATAAAAATAATTAATTATGATATTATATTTAAATTTTCATGTTTATAGTTACTTTTATTATATATTTAAAAAGTAATTAAGTAGCATCTCCTTTTTTACAGAAGAATTGTATCCTAAATTAAAATTTCAAATCTCTTGAATACATTATTTGTACTTCATTTTACATTAATTAATTTTTAATATAAATTTATTTTTATCCTTATCCTTTTTTTTAAATTTATTCTTTTTTAAAAAAATATTTATGTTTCATATTTATTTTTCTGTGTTACGTTTTTTCTTTCTTTATCTTCCCTTGTATAATTATTAAATCGGTTATTTCTTATTTTTAAATTTTCATTTATAAATTTATTTTAATTACTTCTTTTTTTTTATTTTGAATTTATCATCTCATAGCCGGAATTAAATTGAATATTATTTGATCGATAATCGCCGATTTCTTCTTTGTTCATTTCGATAGATTTATTTTCGATTTGTAAACCGATTTTATTTTAATTATCGATTAAATAATTTTCAATTTAATTCCGAAAATTTATGAGATGATAAATTCAAAATAAAAAAGGAAGCCGATTTCTTCTTTGTTCATTTCGATAGATTTATTTTCGATTTGTACCGATTTTATTTTTATTAATTTACACATTATTTCCATTTTTATTATGGCTCCATTTTCATTCAATCGGATTTTATTTTTGTAAAAAATGATTGAAGTAACCCTTGTAATGAAGAAAAATGTATATATAAATAATAAAGGTTCTAATTAAAATTATAACTCCTTTAATAATCTTTATTAATCAAATAATCTGTATTACAATCCGTAAGGTAAAAGGTATAAACAAAACAAAAATTTAAATAAAAGATTATAAGAAATATTTAAAAAAGTGAATAATTATACAATATCTCGCGTTTCCATATCTATATAACAAAATTATTTGTCTAACAAAATATATTATCTGTGCATAACCAATCTTTATAATTCAATAAGTAATTTTGGATATAATAGATAAATTCAAATTATATAAAAATTATAAATATTTTTATCATAATTTCTATTTTTTTATTTTTCTTTGAGTTTTCTCATTTTTTTATTTTTACTCTGACATTTCCTCGCTACCATTTAGCACATGGAGTAATAAATATATTGAATTAGATTTTATTAGGTAATAATTTATGATAATTAATGTTCAACAAAAGTTATAATAATTATTAAAATAGAACATTCTATTAAATACATTGTCATATTTATGGTAAGGGTTTTCCTTACCCAATAATTATTACGCGATAATTATACCTTCTACAAAAGAATTTTAAAAAAAATTAATATTACCATGTTTGCGTTCATTCATAATACAAGCTGTTCGATTTAAAGTAACCCTTAAACATGAAAGATAAGATAAGATATAAAATAACCCTTATATCTTGAATATTACATATTATTTTTAAAAATTGAAGTAATTTTAACATAAATATGATAGATTATATTAAATTAATGCTTAGCGATAAATATAAGTTTCTAAATTATTTTCAATAACAAATTGCTTCAGTTTTTAAATTAATTATGAAACTTAATTTAAATATTTTTGAAAAATAATTTAAATATTATTATATGGCTTCTTACATTTTATTTAATAAATTATAAAAACACAAATATAATATATTATAAGCTTATATTTTATATTAAAGTTTATATTGCTTAAATTGAGCCTTTAATTCAATTCTACTTTATCATGAATTTTGAAAATTTTATTCAAGAAAAACTGTCATAACATTTTCTTTTCACAAAAAATTAAATAGAGAAAAGTTGGAGAGTTTTGCATTTCTTAAATGCATAAATAAACTAATATCTTGTGTATAATGAATTTATATCAAAATATATCTTTCATTCACTAAGAATTAATAGTTTGCATTCAAAAATCTAGTGTGTATAACTAATTTCACTAAAAAAACAATATTATGAAATAATGATCAATAAAATATTCATAGCACCATAATCTTTAAAAAAATATCTTTCTTACCATGGTTTTACAAAATAACAATGATACAACATTTCATAAAAACCATAAACCAAAATTGCTTAAAAATCTAAGTAGTAAGGACAAAGAAGATATTAAATATGACAAATTACTATCGATAGAGGGAACCCCATCTTTTTATTATGGGAATCATCAAAATGATTACAAATCAACCAATTCTAACCTTAATAATTCAAACGACAATATTGTTAATTCATCTAATAATAAAGGTTCAAAAGATAGAGATGATGGGATGAGTTACAGCAATACAAATTCAGTCAGACAACCCAATTCAGGCTACATAATTGGAGATTATGATGAAAACGTTGATCAAATCAATGATACTTATCATTCTAGGGGAAAAAGCATAAATCAGGGTGCTCTTCTAAAGAAGAATAGAGACAAGAATGGGAATGAAAGCAACACACAAAATATAGTTGATGATAGTAGAACAACAAGTAATTATAAGAATCAAGAAGGCAGGAGAAATGATAGAGAAGAGACAGAAAAGCATGTAAGAATCATGGACAGCAACCCAGATACCAAGTTGATTGATCGTACTGTATCACCTAATTACCACTACCACAGACAAAGGGCAGGTGTGTATGGTTGGAGAAAGAGGTGTCTCTATTTTTGGGTGCTAACATTGGGCTTGTTGAGCCTACTCAACCTTGCTTTAACCATATGGATGCTGAGGCTTTTAAGATTCAACTGGGTAATAATATAAATGATAATGTATGGAAATGATTTTTTTCACCTTAATAAAAAAAAAATTTTTAAAGCTAATTTTCTCCCTTTTGATTGTTTTCTAACTACAGTTAATTTAAAAAAAATGAATAGGAGTAGGATGATATTTCTTTGGTACAATTAAGATTTAAGGGTCTGTAGCTTGGATGTAGAAAATGGAAGATGCTAAGTTTTTGGCTAATTTTCTGTCCTGATATATATATTTTTTAAAACCTTTATTCTCAATGGTATTACTATGGATGGTTATAAGAGGGCTCAGCATTACATTTAATTTGAGTAATCCTAAAATATTCTAAGCAAAACTTACTTTTTGATCAAGCAAAAATAAAAAAAATACCGGTTTTTATATAACATTACAATTGTTACACCTAAATGATAAGAGTTAGTGATGCCTAAAAAGTTTAAGCATTTAAAAGAAAATGAACATCATATAAATGTTTTAAAATAGCCTTCCATTTATTTTTTTAAAATGAATATAATATAGATAATTATATGCTGAGTAATCATTGAGTTAAATTTTATTTCTTATTCAGTTATATATTTTTTAAACTAGGATAAATAATTTTGATGATTTAGTTTGCTACTATTGTATTGATATATTGTTTTTTCTATGGTAGTTGGCCTATCTCAGATAATTGATTTTTTTTTATTTTCCAGGGCCATACAAATAAATTTATATTATTTTTATTGCTTCTTATTGGCACTATACAAAAGTTAGACACAAATTTACAAATCAAAAATCTCGAAACTGAAAAAAAAATGGGAAATATATTCTTTTCTATAAACTCAAAGTTGAGAAAAATAATATATTGTATATTCCATTAACTTTATAATTTTATATTTCTTGAAATTTTCAATTGTCAAATTAGTTTCAACCCAGCATGGTTTCAAGAGAAAGAAAATCAACTGATTGAAAAAAATTTATTTTTAATTTTGAATTGAGTTATAAATAAAAAATATATTGTAATTTATTAGCATTTTTTAAAATACCATAGTTTTAATTATCCTATAACTTTTGTTAAATAAAATTTATTTTCTTGATTTTTATAGCTATATATACACAGAATTAGAAAATACTAGCTTAAAAATAATTTTGTTATTTTATATTTATAGAACGCTTGATGTTTATGTTAGGGTTAAGTATGAAATAAATTAGCCCCATAAAAAATTAGAAAAAAATCCAGATACCAATTCATGCCTCCTTTGAAAAATTCAACCGATAATGCAATTCATAAATTGTTATATAATTATTAAATATTAATGAATAGAGAAAATGGCTAGAGAAAACTTGATTTTATAATAACAATAAATAATTTGGTTAATTTAGATACCTTAAGCTTAACTTATTTTGATAGATATAAAGAGATAATTATTATTTTACATAGTTGTTAAAAAGTCGCGGATTAGATTCTAACTTTGGCAAATCGACTGGATTGTCGATCTTTAAAAAACATAGGCATAATTATATAATCTGATAAAAAGTCTACTCCACACATGCGCTTAATCTTGAAAAATTGCCTTATAAAATATTAAAGATTTATTTTAAATCAAACCACGAAAAAATTAACATAATTTGTTGTAAAAACTCCTTTTCATATTGTTTTTTGAAATTTTATTATTTAAAAAAACATATAAATATATATTAAATTTAAACATAAAAATGATTAAAATAATAATCACAATCACATACAATAAAAAAGATTCCAAAGCATATTTTTCTCAAAATCTATAAAAATGTTATTTACATTTTTTTCTTAAAATACAATATAATATCAATAATTTTTCAAAATCAAACTAAACTATAAAATTTTTATATATAATAAAAAATTTTATAAATAAATATACATACAATTAACCTTAGCCTAAATATTGAATTTATGATATTATTTATATGTTTATATTTCAAAAATATATAATTTTGTTTATTAATAACTTGTGTTCCTTATTTATAGAATACCGTTTATTACTATTTGTGTATCGGACATCGTATCGATCCCACGGGTTGGTTTGATTTTTAAGCAAACAAACGAGCCTTGCGAAGCCTCTCCTTTTGGCGATGAGCCCCATAAAAAATTTCGCTTTTTATGGGTGAGGGAGGGGATTTTTCTTACGCTATTTTTTATTACATAACTGTTCTTCATTGTGAAAATTGAGACCTTTTCTAAGTGGATTCATTGGCGAACTAGAAATTTAATTTGATTAAAGCATTTTTTTATCGCATCTATAAAAAAAAGGAGGGGGGGGGGCTCTGACGTTTATTATTAATATAAAATGAGGATCATATATCAATTTAAATGTAACTAATTTAACCTTAGAGTATTACTTAGCTAATTTGATCTTACGTTTTCTTCACTTAATTATTATTTGATATCCCGTTAAGATGTGCACTTACCCAATTTAAACCTGAATTGGACAAAGGTGATTTGCATTATTTATGTATTATTATTATTATAATTAAACTTTAATTTATGTAATATGTGTTTACAGCGTGGAATGGGCACCATGAAATTTACGCGCGATAATATAATACTCAACGGGAATACTGTGTTCAACCAACCTCTCAGGGTAGCAAATTTACAAGCGCCAAATGTAAAATTTTAATTTTAAATATTTAAAATATATCAAGTTTGGGTAGCCAACCCATTCTTTATATATATAGCACATCTAAATCATTAAATTGGGCATAGTGCAGGGAAGTACTGGGAAATATTTCATTTTTTAATCCATCAAAATTACTTAATCGTTATGCGCAATGTTGGTGCCGTAACCAGAATTATATTACGAGTCTGTGTTGTAGGGTATTTATTTCAATTAATCTCTAATTTAAATTATCTCTTATGAACTGGAATTTATATCAACTAAATCTCACTTTATTAAATTTCTCTTTTAAAACAAAATATTTTAAAAAATAATATAATTTTTTTTCATAAAATACACAATTATGTCTATAATTATTATTTCTCTTTAGGCTGTGTCCAAAAGGTTTTGAGATACCTCAAAATTTATAAATTTTCGCTATATGAAACATGTCCGAAATCTTCCATTATTTATTTTTACAAAAAAACGAAAAATAAAATAAAGAAAAATACAACTAAAAAAACTAGAATAAAATACGAAAAATAACATATTTTAATATTACTTACTAGTTTTTTCATAAAAATTACCTAAATAAATAAATTTTGAATAAATTTTTATTCAAATTTATTAATTTCTATTATTTTTCAAAAAATAAAAATTTGTAAATAACAAATGATTTAGAAACTATTATATTTTTACATTAAAAGTAGCTTATGTTATTTTTTTCTTCAAAATTTTTTTTATATTTTTTAATAGTGTTGTTAAACGGCTCGATTTGAGCCGATTTTTAAAAACGGCTAACTCAACACTTTATCCAGAATAATATGACGCAAGCCTGAAGATTTTGCACATAGATGGCACAAAGGTCCAAATATCTATTAGCGAAGTTTCGAGGCTTAGACAATATTTTTCTGTCTAAAATATCGAGTTAGCCGTTTTTAAAAATCGACTCAAAACGAGCCGTTTAACAGCACTATTTTTTAGATTTTGGACATCGCCTTATAAAGAAATAAGAAAAATAAAATATTAAATAATATTATTTTCACCTTCGAAAAACCACGAAAAATGTATACAAATTTAAACCTTTATAACACGCCCCCTCCCTCCAATAAATTTAAGACCAGAGTATTTTATATTTCTTATAAAATCATCTAAAATAATTGACATATATCTGAATTAAAACATGTTCGAACCACCTTACTTCTGACGCTATGATGACCTCATGGGGTTTTCTCTTGGCCATTCCTTGGACATTCTCAAATCTTGCCAATACAATCGCCCTTGGGATAATTGCCTTAGGTGATACAGTCTTTCCCCCGTCAGTTGACATCCAATTTTTAAACCTCTGATAAAGCCTTATCACCCGCGGTTTGCACACCATCCATTTGACTAAAATGTTAATTTCCGGATGCAACCTTAAGCCGGGAGTACCATGGCCGTAATATTTCCGCATACAAGGTGGGAGTCCGTCTACTTTAGCTATTTTAATTTTGTTTTTTTATATGTAATATCTTTAATCATCTCCGTTGAAGTAGCTGAATAATTTGGAGCACAGTTATAAATATATGCTAATATTCCATGTATTAGTGCCTATGAGTATTTTAACCAGCATACTACCCATTGTAAAGGAAGAAAATTATTATTCACCAAATTGGTCAACCTTAGGATTAAAAGCGGTTGAAGGCATTCTGAAATTTCATCAATGTTTAGTGCCTAATTGTATAATATTTTAATCCGTTTTTGCTTGGTGGACCAGTATAAAAAGAAAAAAATATATATTAGCATAGTTAAAAAAAAATTTGCATCATGCCAGAGTGGAGGAAGCTAAATACCTGGTTTATTAATTCTTCAATCAATTTCGCCAACCACAAAAATAAAGGTATTATAATCCAAATAGAGACTATATCGCGCCTTAAGCATGAAGTCAGCCAATCTGGAATCTTTAACTCTTAAACTTTTATAAAAAAAATTGGTGCGTATTAAGTACATTTAGTCAGGTTGTGCATTTGACCGGTCAAATACGGTTAAATTCAAATAAATGTTTTTTAGGACAATATTAATTCTATTTTATATATAATAGTAAAAAATGTATGTATAATAAATTATTTTCTAAATTCTATAATTAATGTTTCGCTCTCCATGGCAGAGCCTTGTTCTAATTTATATTCAATCTTATAATTTTCTTTAACATTTTTTAATCAATCTTAGGTTATGATATACTCTTACCAATTTTCTGGTTGTCGAGTTCTTCAATCAGATTTCTTAGTCACTTCTCTTAATATTCAAGGTGAACAAAGCCCATTCCAACAACTTGAGCCCGAAATCTGATTGTTTTTTATGAAAGTTACTGGTTTCCACATATTTTGGCTATACGCCACTTTTATTTCTGAAATTTATGAAATCACTTAAAATATTTTGATGAATCTCTTTATGAAACGACTAATTTTTGTATTATGTCATATGCTTCATCAAACTTAAGTAAGATGTTTCCCTTATATTGGGGATCAATAATCAGCAGTGCAGTATGAGCACATGTATTTGGATTGTTTTCTTTTTTAAACTTATCTTTAATAATTTTTCTTTAGGTTGGTAAATTATAAAATCATGGACATGATTGTATTATGTATTTTCTAAATTAAGCATCTCGTTTTTTACGTGAGGCAAGGTCAATAAGATAATTTATGTTTTTATGAATAGTTTAAAATTTTAAATTTTTTGTCCAAAATATCATTTAATATATTATTGGCATTTTCTATCGGACAAATATCCAACTTCTTAAACTGCTGCTTTCAGAGCTTACTTGCATATTTATATTTGTTCATTACATTTTATTGATGATGCCCATCTTTTTAGATAATTGTACATAATGTAATATAAATTGGCAATTAGTAATTTTCTCACCATGCTTAAATAAAATTATTATATTTATTTATATAAAATTAATAATGAGAAAAATTCTTAATATTTTAATATGAAAATTTTATATTTTTATATAAAATTATAACTAAATCGATGCCTTGATGATACAAATATATTTTTAAATGAAATAAATTAGATTGATAAATATGCTTTAAATACATATTAGTTCATTAAATATATATAGTTATTCACCAATAACATTTTAGGGTATTTGACCGTATTTGACCAGGTCAAATATTCCTTCTGTCAATTGACCTACTTGCCAACCCTGCATTTAGTGCTTAACCCGTTTTTTGGTAAGCTTAAAGAAAAATGTATTGGCAAATTAAGAAAATAGGATAGGTATCATGCTGGAACAAAATTATAGAAGCAGTAGATAAATTTCTTTTAGATACGGCCCTGATTTTTCAAATCATACTATTTAACGACCCAGGCGGAGTGGGCCTGAAGTCTCTGGTTGAATATTATATTGTTAATATAAATTTGTATAACCAATAAGATAGGATAATATAAAATCTGACCTAATTTTCGTTACGATTTTTAAAAAGGTTTCTTTGCCCGACCCGCAAAAATTTTCAAATTTTGGGTCTAGATTTTGGAATGCAGATCTCTAATTCTAGTTTCTTGAATTGAAAAAAAATTTTAGTTTGAATTTCTAACCGGAAAATAATAGTTGTTTATAAAAAGCATATATTGATAAGATTTGATTCTTAATGTATTCGTGTTAGAGGTCTGCATTGGGCGGGGTTTCGGCCCGCCCGATGGGTGGGCGGATGGGCGGGTAAAATATTTTTCGAAAGTGGGCAGGCGGGCGGGTTTAAAAAAATTTGAAACTATGGGTGGGTTGGGTGGGCGGGTTAAATTTAAACAATGGGCAGGCGGGTTAAGGAAATTTAAAATTTTGTTCAAAAACAAACTAAAAAAATAATTGTTTAAATGATCTATAACAATATTTCTTTTTTTATTATACCAATCGTTTTTTTTAAGTGAAGAACATTTACCTAACTATATTATGTAATAAACACAACATAAAACTTTTTTCTTATATTGGCAATTCCTGCAACTAGTGCGAAGATTTTTAGAACAAAGAAGAACGTGTTTGAATCCAGAAAATGTCGATTTATTATTATTTTTGCATAATAATTACATATAATATTAATTTTACATTTATATTTTTTTCATAAATATTCAATTTGATCTAATAAATTGTCCATAATTTACATTGATTATTTTTATACTTATATTAATTTCCTAAATTACAAACTTTTTGTAGAGGTATAATGCTGAAATATTTTTATTAGATGCTTAAAAAAATGAAAGAATGACCTTAATTAAATTTTATAAGCGGGCTTGGGTTAAAAATTTTTTATAAATAATGGGCGGGCGGGTAAAAAATTTTAGTAATGGGCGAGTGAGCGGGTAAGGAATTTTAGACAAATGGGCTGGGCGGGCGGATTAAATTTTTTTTAAAACATTGGATGGGCGGGCTTTTGGTCTAAAACCCCGCTTAATGCAGACCTCTAATTCGTGTTAGTTGAAATGAAAAGAATACATTACATTATTATTCTTAATTCGATTCGAATTTCTTTAAAAAGTCGACCAATTATATAGAATCATAGGCCTTTCTTAATAAAATTATTTCAACATTAATATGAAATAAATTACAAAATAAATCTGGAATGAATTATAATTTAATATTAAAATTCAATAGTAGCATGGCTCATTTATAAATAGTAGCAAAGAAGATTATATTAAGTTTATGTTAAATATTTTCTTCACAATGTCCATTTGGTAAAGAAAGAGGAATCGGAAATTCCCCTTGACAAATTTACAAATTTCATAAACAAATAAAAATCGATACCTCCGACACCCCTCCTTTCCCAGCCCTTAGATTACTTTCAACTTTTAATAATATCGATGTTAATAAGTTCTTTATTTTCTTACATGCCCACCATGGCTGATATAATATTCTCTTTTGTAAAGGTCATATCCGGAATCCTTTCTTATAATGACAATAGAGATCGAGATACATATTATACTAACTGTCAAGAGTTGGTATACAATACTTGATAATCTAATGGAATCAAATCAAA